TATTATTATTATTATTATTATTATTATTATTATTATTATTATTATTATTATTATTATTATTATTATTATTATTATTATTATTATTATTATTATTATTATTATTATTATTATTATTATTATTATTATTATTATTATTATTATTATTATTATTATTATTATTATTATTATTATTATTATTATTATTATTATTATTATTATTATTATTATTATTATTATTATTATTATTATTATTATTATTATTATTATTATTATTATTATTATTATTATTATTATTATTATTATTATTATTATTATTATTATTATTATTATTATTATTATTATTATTATTATTATTATTATTATTATTATTATTATTATTATTATTATTATTATTAATCTCATTCACTTCATTTATTTATTAATTTATTACTTCCTTCCTTCACTTCGTTCCGTATCGTCTCGACTCTTCCTCTTCTCCTCTTCACTGTCTTCTTGCTCCAACCTATCCACTTGCCATTTGAAAAACTCGTCATGTCTCCGCCATCTTGCTTGTTGCCACGTGGCTCCGCTTCACCCTTAGGCTTTGTCCCTAAGGGCCGCTCTCCATGCGCTTGCGGCGATCCTTCCTCCGCCATGTTGGATGTTTGCGAACCGGCCTTTACGCTCTACGCTTTCTCTCGCGCGGAGATGCCCACGTGTTCGTACGATATATCGAAGCATGCTTGACCGACGCCATTATTTATTTACTATCAAATCATGAAAATACAAAAATAGCCAAAACTAATCACCGCGTGCATTCAGTATGCCTCATTCGCCCTTTCCCGCACTCTAAATCCCTAATGACTGTTAGAACACGAAAACACGAATCAAAAGGATGCGCTAAGGAATGAATGCACTGAGGTTTGAATAAGCTGTACGCAGTCTATTCCTGATGGAAAATGCAATTTATTAAGACGTGTGGCCGTTCGGAACGTTTTAATAACTCTGCGGGCCTGTCCTGTCCCGCTAGCCCTGCAGCGTACGTCTCAGTCCTACAGACGGGGGTGGGGGTGACAATTGACGCTGTCCATGCCCTGCCTGCAGTCCTGCCGGTTTCGTCGCAGGAAAATTCCACCACGTCTTACATTCGGCCAACCTGACCCGCTTGCTCATCCCTGAGCAAAATAATCTATTTCGGTTTCTAGAACATAAACAGAAACATACACCATTGACATACAAATCTTTTAAACAACTTAATTCTCAAGTAGCAAAACCCTTCTTAGCAATAATTAAATAAAATTTATGACTCCCATGTCTATTTAGTCATATCATACTTGGACAGCAGAAAGACGCAGTCTTCCCGCCTGAATGCGATGTCTGCGACTCCACAACTCGCTACGCCTATGGATCGAGTCTTCCCACCAAGTAAGAATTCCGCTCATCTCTCAATCCGGATTCAACCTCTTGTCTGTTTTCCTCAGTCCATTATCCTCGACGCAGCGACGTCCACTGAAGTTGTTCCAACCCGTTGTCCTCTCAGTGATGACCGCATGTATCATGTCATGCCGTGACCTCCATCACAGACATAACACCTAATTGTCCATCGGGTTGTGACCTCCACCACAACCACGATGACCAAGTTCCACCCAGTTGTGACCTCCATCACAACTGTAACAGCCAGCTTCTTGTCATGTTATGACCTCCATCATAACACAACAGCCAGTTCCTTGCCATGTTGTGACCTCCATCACAAACACAACAACCAACCCCTTTGCCATGTTGTGACCTTCATCACAAACACAACAACATATGGGTTCAATGCTAATTATTCCAAGTGCACCTCCTTCACAACAGGCCTCGACCAACCTTTAGCCGCCTACCTGCTGTAGTGCCCTGGAACCTTCCAAATCTCTCATTAAATAATCCTCTTTTCCTACCTGACTATACACGCACGCTGGGGTTGACCAACAAAACTAACTATTCTATAATTCTATTATTCAACAGCCGCTACCCACGGTTTCATTCGATCGACAGCCACAAAACGGCCACAACCGTTTTCGCTCGACGACCCCCTTCTCTCAGATCTTCCACTTCATAGCGATCATTATACAATACTGTAACAACCCGAAACGGCCCCTTAAAACGCGCATGAAGCTTCCGACTGTCTCCCGTCGGCTGATCAGCGGTAATTTCAATCAGCACAACATCTTCTTTTTGGAACTTCCTTGCCGCTCGCCGTTGCCGATCATAACACTCTTTCTGCTTACATTGATCTTCCGTAATATGTTCCGATATTTTTCCCCGAAGCGCATTCAAATCCATACGCTCAATTCCGTCCTGCACCTCTTTCAAAATCCATCCCTCTGCCGGATAACGCACCTTGCATCCAATTAACGCCCCCATTGGCGTCATTCCGATGCCCTTATTATGCGTCGTATTCAGAACGCACCGAATTCTTTTTACCTCTTGATCCCATTGCTCAGGACTTTTCCCTGCCATTGTAGCAGCCAACGAAGCAACTATTGTTCGGTTATACCTCTCGCACTGACCATTTGCTCGAGGCGTAGCTACAGCATTCAACACATGTCGAATGCCATACTCCCTGCAGAAAACCTGAAACGCTGAACGCTCAAGCAGTGAAAGCTGTCCCCCTATCGCTAATTATATGATGAGGCACTCCAAAAAGATGTACCATGTCCAAAAGTATCTTTGCTGCCCGTTTTGCCTTCATATCCTTCACTGGTTCTATCACCGTAAACTTCGTAAATCCGTCCACAATAACCAGCAAATACCGATTTCCTTTCCTGCTTCTCTCGAACGGCCCAACATGATCCACGTGCAAAGTATGAAAAGGTACCGGCGTTTTCTCTCTTTTCTATAGGATGTAGCTCTCCCTGTCTCCGCCCCCCAGTCCGCTTATAGTACGCGCAATTCAAACATGCATTCACATATTTTTCCACAAAAACATTCGTGCCTGCAAACCAATAGTTTTCTCGAATACGCCGAAGCGTCTTTTCAAGCCCTAAATGTCCCGCATCATCATGACACAACTTACAAATTTGAAAACGCGCCGCACGTGGTACCACCCATGGTGTTCGTCCGTCCTTCAACCGCCTGCAAAGTTTCCCTTTCTTTATTACATCATTACATAATCCGTAAAATACTGCTTCGTTTCGCCTTTACGAATGTTGTCTATTAGAATTTCCCGAATCCGTCCGAGTTGTTCGTCCTGCATTTGGGTCGCCGTAATCCAAGCAGCCTCGGTGATATCCACAGGATGTACATCAACCGTTTGTACTGGGTTCCTACTCAATGCGTCAACGTGTTGCATCGCTGAGCCTGGCCGATACTCAATATCAAACCTATAATCTTGGACTTCCAACCACCACCGTCCAATTCTTGGGATCAAGTCTTTCTTAGTAAACGTGGTACGCAATGCATTACAGTCAGTGATGACTGTAAAATGTATACCAAGTAAATACACCCGAAAATACCGCAACGCAAGTACGACTGTCATAGTTTCCAACTCGTATGAATGGTATTTTTGCTGATCAACCGTTGTTTGCTTGCTAAAGTACGCGACTACCTGCCGCTTCCCATCAGCTGCATATTGGAACAATATTGCCCCTAATCCTAACGAACTCGCGTCTGTATGTAATTCTGTCCGTTTTGCGCTGTCGAAGATAGCTAAAATCGGTCTCGTCGTCAAGATTTCCTTTATAGCACGGACAACCGTCTTCTGCTGTTCACCCCAAGTCCACGGTGTATTCTTCTTCGTAAGCACAGTTAATGGAGCGACCAGACCTGCATAACCCCTAATAAATTTTCGGAAGTACCCGGCTAAACCCAAGAACTGACGTACCTCCTTAACGGTTTTAGGGTCCGGCATCTTGAGAACAGCAGTGATTTTATATTCCCCAGGCCTTACCCCATCTGCACTAATTTCCCGTCCCAAATACGTTATTTTCGTTTGCAGAAACGAACACTTACTAAGTTTAATCGTAAGATTCGCTTCACGCAGTCGACCTAATACAAGACGAAGACGTTCCAGACCCTCTTCCACAGTCTTCAACGGAATAATTATATTGTCAATATACGGGTAAGCAATCGAGTTTCGTAGCGGCCCTAACACGGTATTTATGAGTCTCTGAAAAACAGCTGGCGCATTCGTCAACCCAAACGGCATTCGTAGAAATTCATAATGCCCATCGGGAGTAACAAAAGCTGTTTTCGGTATAGCTTCTTCGCCCATCGCTACCTGGTAATACCCCGAAGCCAAATCAATTGCTGTAAAATACCGATACCCTCCCAATCGATCTATCTGGTCTTCAATTGCCTTCGACGCTGTCGCGCTTTTATATATTTTCGCATTCACACTCTTTTGTTTCACACTCGTACATCACACACACTCATACCACGCAAAAATTAATTGCTCTTTACCGAATCCCACATTCATAATGCCCGTCGGGAGTAACAAAAGCTGTCTTCGGTATGGCTTCTTCGCTCATCGCTACCTGGTAATATCCCGCAGCCAAGTCAATCGCCGTAAAATACCAGTACCCTCCTAACCGATCTATCTGGTCTTCGATTAACGGGAGAGGATACTGATCCCTAATGGTAACCGCGTTCAACCGCCGATAATCCACGCAGAGTCGATACTCGCCCGTTTTCTTCTTTACAAGCGTAATGGGACTCGCATATGGTGAAATAGACTCCTGAATTATTCCGTTTTCCAACAATTCCTCTACGATTTCCCGCGCTGCTACACGCTCTACCTCAGCCATCCGATATGGACGATAAACGACCGGTACATCAGTCGTGCACTTTATATCCATTTTAACAAGACTTGTTTTACCCAATGACCGCATCGATGTCGTGACCCGATCCCTATATTCCTCAATGACTCTTATACAACCAATTCGTTCTTCTTCCGACATCTCATCGCAATCTAACGCGCTTAAGTCAAACACCGCTTCCGTCGCATACGCATCTATTAACGATTGTGGCTCAACCCCAACGCTCGACAATTCCTTAACAATGATCCGGTCCCGTATTTTAATCAAAATCACATGGTCCTGACCAATGAAATCTTGCCCCACAATTACCTGATAGATCATTGCCTCTGTCTCAACAATAATAGCAGTGACATCGGCAATCGCTTCCATGACTTGTATCGTCACTTCCGCCCTCAAACGATTACAGGACCCTAAACTCCCGTAACCCCGCAATTGTATTAAAGGTCCCTCGACCATCTTAATACCCAGCCGAATTGCAACCGCCTTGGAAATAAGAGTCCTTGCACTACCGGTGTCCAACAGACACTGGACCCTTCTTCCATTAACTCGGGCGTGCATCACCCATTTATTATCATTCGGACTCACCTGTACTACATTCACCGCTACCTTCGTTCTGTAGCAGAACCGCTCCTGATGCCCATCCTTTTGGCACCTCATACACTTTCGCCGCGGCTTCGAGCAGGTCCTCGCAACGTGCCCCTCTTCACCGCAGTTAAAACACACGAACTTAGTCATGTGCTTCGACTGATCACCCGGCTGCTTCTTTCTATCCGCGGCTCGCACCCCCGACGGCCCTGCTACCGATATCGGCGTCCGCTCAGCAACCCGCGACGCCTTTGCTGCCGAAACTCCTTCCGATTTCGGCATCACGCCCATCTCCCGCATCGCCACATACAGCTCGTCGGCACTCGCATATTTGTTTGATCGAATTGTTCTCTCGATCGTCTCATCACCAATGCTCCCGATTACTGCATCCCTTAAAAACTCGTCAGGAATGTCCACCTTCAACGCCCTCAACTTGGTCAGTTTATTAAAACAGTAATCCCCCAGCTTCTGTCCCGGCTGCGCTGTGTAATTGGCAGCATCTCGAAACAGCCGATTAAAAGGCAGGGGTTTCCTAAAACGAGCGACGAGCGCCGTCTTCAACATTTCCCAGGTGGGGTCTCGCCGTTGTTCCTCATCGAAAAACTGTCGCGCGTGCCCCCGCAATTGGCGCGCAATGTAACACATTATATCGTCATCGCGCCAACTCCCACGCCTTGCAATTCTATCCACATCACGCACCCATATCTCTATGTCCGCTTTGTCGTCCGCCGGATCAAATTGAGGCACTAGATGTTCCTGCGCTGCCAGCTTATACCGCGCATTGCACAGTTCCTCTTGCAATTTCTGCACCGTCTGAAGCAGCGCTTCCACCGTTGCACTCTCCCTCGTAGAGGACCTCCGCGACGCCGATGGTGACCGCGATCTTCGTCGCGACGATTCTCGCGAACGTCCTCGCCTCTCCCTTCGGGAGGACCTATCCCGCGATCGCCTCTCTGAACGACGGCGATCCGCTCTGCCATGATTTTTCGTCTCCTTTCCCTTTCGCGATCGTTTTTTCGAACGGCCCCGCGAATCTCGCGAAGACCCACGCGAATCTCGCGAAGACCCACGCGAATCTTGTGAAGATTCACGCGAATCTCCCCGCACACTTGTCCTACGCACTCGTTCGGAGTTTTCTCCCGAGCGTGCACCACCCGAATCGCGCGAATCGTCCCTTGAGCGCACACGCTCCCTCGAACGTTCACGTTCCGTCACACACGAATCGTACCGCGTACGGCTTCTATGCTCCCTCAGCTCACTCATGTTCACTACATGCACTATTTAGAAATATATATGTATATAATAGCACGTACGGCTTTCACAGTCTCGCACTTTGTTCGCCAGGTATATTCCTGTCACCGTAGCACGTGTTACCCACACACGCAACACCGAACACGTGGTAATCCCACTTCTGATATGTTAGAACACGAAAACACGAATCAAAAGGATGCGCTAAGGAATGAATGCACTGAGATTTGAATAAGCTGTACGCAGTCTATTCCTGATGGAAAATGCAATTTATTAAGACGTGTGGACGTTCGGAACGTTTTACTAACTCTGCGGGCCTGTCCTGTCCCGCTAGCCCTGCAACGTACGTCTCAGTCCTACAGACGGGGGCGGGGGTGACAATTGACGCTGTCCATGCCCTGCCTGCAGTCCTGCCGGTTTCGTCGCAGGAAAATTCCACCACGTCTTACAT